AATACAATTGAACTTGATAAAAATTCAATGACTAGTGGGACGTATGAAAAAAAAATTGAAAAGAAAAACGTTTGAAGTAAAAGTGGTTCTAAATTGTAAACAGTATGTAACTTAATATTTATTCATGTGAAATCGGTCTCTAAGTCCCAAAAGAAGAGCAAATAAAAACAAGTAAAATATCAATATAAAAGAAGTATATCTAAGACAATATAAAAAAAGAAAAATTGTTAAAGTACATTATAAACGATAGATATCTTGAATTTTTTTGGAGTAATTTAGAAAAATGAAATAAAAAATGTATATTTTTTACGTTTTTACAGGTACTTAAAAATATTATTTCAAGAATGATAAACGAACAATAAACTATACAACTATACTTTTGTAAATAAACTAAATTTAAATAGTTTTTACAAAATCATACTTAAATTATTTAAATGATTTCAATCTTGAATCGTTTTAAAATTTCACTTACTATTATTACTGGTGTTCAAAATATTTTTCTTTTACAGTCTTATAATTTCTATACTTTATTAAATTAAATCAAATAAAACAACAAATTTAAGTAATACCTAAATAATACACAATAGTTATTAATATTTAATACTAAATAGTAAATATTACACTCAAATTATTATACTTATATAAAATATTATCATACAAATTTAAAATATATTTTTATAACCTATGGTACTTACTAGAGTTTTAACTTTCTGTGCTTAACCTAATAGTTCTTAATTTAAATTGCATATCATGTTTTAATAGATTAAAATTAATTTACACTTGATTTAATTCAATCATTAACTTTATACTTCAAATAATAATTTGCCAATCTTCCTTTGTGTTTGTTGTTAATACTGTTAATACTGTACCTTTACATATTTTAATGTTACAATAAATTTTGTATTTCCATTAATTTTCTTAATGATTACTAAAATAACTTAAGGCATCAACGTAATAAAAATTATAAATTAATACTTAAAAATTAAAAATTATACACACTAAATTATTATTTTATAATATAGATATATTTATGTGGAGAAAAATGTAGTCGTATATCTATTAATAATATATCAGTGTTCAAGTGAATACATTATTTAAATAGTTTTTATCAATAAAGATTACATTTTGAATTATCTAGTTTAAATATGAAATAAAATATCATGAGTTATAATGAAAAATATTGTCATAATGATATAAAAAGCTAGCGATGAGCTTAAATTTTATTAATTCTGTATATTCATACTGTAATTGCTATTTTATAAAATGATTCTCGTAATTTATTAATTCATTATGCCACGTTAGAGATGTAATATCACAAAGATCTTTATTGTTGTTTTTATACAAATTGGGCATCTAGTTATTCAATTAAAACGCTACGATAAATTTCTAATTTTAGATTATTGTCCAACACTAATAATAAATAATTTTATTTTTATATTTGATTGTTTATAATAAAATGTAAAACGGTTATGGCTGACGGATAATAACCAATACTAAACGTATAAGTAGTCGTAAATTATTAGTCATTATTGTACAGGTCAAACGTAAAAACACCAAGCTTTTATACTATGTTATATCCTTTTAATCCTTAAAACGGTCCTATTGTAAAGTAAGGACGTAAATTAATACTTTTTACATTATTAATAATCTTACTAAACATAATTTCACCTTAGGAGAAAAAATAAGAGCTTATTAATTATCAGTAAAATTTCATTATTATCTATAATTTCAATAACAAATATTTTATAAATTGGCTCAACCATTATTTTTCAATAGCTGATTGATATTTTTAAAAGATAAACAATTTATATCATTCTTTTAAAAGACAAAATCGTTTTATAAGAATATTGTAGTAAAAATAATAAATTAATTTAACTCAGTTATGTGTATAAATGTCGTCTACTTATCCTTTTAAATTAAAAAAAAAACTTATGGTTTTTCAATAACTACATTCTTTTTTTTCTAGCAAAAAAAAAAATCAATTTAAATATCCATTATACCAACAAATTTTTCATGAAAAAAAAAACATCTATCTATATACTTTTAAACGTCAAAAAACAAAAATTCATAAAATGTATATCCAATTTAAAGAATCCTCTTCTTTTTCTAACTTAAAATGTCGAAAACTCTAAACGTGATTAAGTTTAAAACTCTAATTTCTAAGATGTGTATAATCAAATTATACACTAAAAAAATATTTCATATTAATTTAGTTATAATTTAATATAATATAATTTGTATTAATGTTATATTGCGTGATTTTTTAGTATAAACTAAAAGCCCTAAAAACCTATTTTTTTCAAATTCTTTTGCTGTATGCATTAATTTTGAACTATTATAACTCAACATCCATTAGGTACAAAAGAAAAGTTATGCTTCCTGTAGAAATAAACGTTGGTAAAATAAAATTTACAAAACTTTCATTCAAAGCAAATGCTTCAACAACATCAAGCTGTTATTTACTTAAGTACCTTCTTGTGAAATACAGATAAAGCTCTTTACATTTTAAACCGATTTTAATATTTTAAACTTCTTAATAACAATTTTATTGTTTTAACGTACCTGTATTGCTTTAAACAATTGTACATTTTACATTAATGGTAAACTCCAACGCCTAATTATTTCTAAAGCTAAAATGTATCATTAAATGTATTGATAATTCGATTTTATTTCTTCCGTTTTAAAAAAAATATATATTCGTGACAATATTTATAGATTCATTGAAAAAATAATGAAATAATTAATTTTGTTTTCTGTTTAATTACTACAATTAAGCATGAAGATATTTAACAATTTTGAATTATTTTAATTTATTTATGGGTCTCAGTTTTTTAAAAAGGTTACTTAATTTAAATTTAAAAATAATTTAGTTTTTTATTCGCCATCATAAAGAAAGTAAACACATTTTTTTATTATTTCATAGTAAATAATATTATGTAAATTAAATAAACTTTTTGTACGTATTATTTTATCAGATTTTCAATATATTTAATAATTATTAGTCTATGATATCCACCTAATAATAATAATTTTTAATTAAAAGCAAAAATTTATTTTTTTTAATGTATTTTAATATACTATATTATGTATGCTCTATAAAACAAATAATGCAAAATAAATATTTAATTTAAAATCCAATATTTTATTATTTACCTATAAAATATATTGTAAATGTCAATATTTAACAATCAAATTTACTAAAATTATTATCACTACCTAAATTATGTTTAGTATTTCTTGTAAAATAAATAGTATTTAATTTATATTATTCTTATACTAAATTCTATTTTTATTATTCACATATCATTAACTTTATTTTATATCGAATGAAACATCTTTACATTTATACAGGCAAGAACTTGTTTTAGTCAGAAATAAATGAAATGAATATGATCAGTTGTAAATTTTCAGCTAATAAGTATATTTTCTTAACTATAGTGAATCTAGGTTATTTCGGGAAAAAATATTTAATACAACAGTATTTCAAAAAATTATACGTAAATCTAAATAATATAGTACCTACAACATAATATACACAAGGGCATCGTAAAAAAAGTTTAAAAATCGATTTTTGAAAAAATAAATTTTGTATATGTTAATAAGTGATTAATAATTATAATATAAAATTTATTACAACACGTACTCAAACTTTTATGGTAATAAATTCAATTTTTTTTTCTATAAATTTAATAATAACAACTTATAAGGTACCTTCTATTAGTTTTAAAAAAATAGGTATGAATATTAAAAATATAATGAATTTTTAGCTATAAAATATTTTGCAAATTTTCGTGTTTTTAACAAAATTTGTCAAAATTTTAACATTTAACAATTTAAAAAAAAAATGATGTGTCTATATATTTTCAATATATTTGAATCGGTAAACAAAGAACTTGTGAGAAACATTATATATTATTTTCTAACCATTCAAGCTCATTGATTTTTGAAGAAAAAACTAAAAAAAATTTAAATTGTTATCATGTTATAAAAAATTCTGATATAACTATTTACGTAAATATTTAGCCAACATTTCAAGTATTCACGATAATTTATTTTTAAGTCACACCAAAAAATTTAAAAGAATTCTTTAGAATTTTTTTTTTTTTTTTTGTTTTTACCAAATATTTTGAAAAATATGGAAATTTTAAACTTTGACCTTTTTAAGTATTAATTTAAAAAAATCATCCTCAAAATTTAAGATCTTCATTATTTTACCAATCATAAGCATCTACAATAAAACAAAAAATAAATAAATCGTAAAACCAATATATATTCATAGCTCTGCTCAAAATCGAAAAAATTTAATACCTGACATAATAAAAAAAATTCTAAATTACCTCAGACTATTTTTTTGAGGAAGGCTCAGACGCTGTAACTCTCCCAACTATGCACATGAATATTCTTCTGCTTAACCTTAACCTTAGTTTATTTAATTTTAATAACTTCTATAAAACTTAATAATATAGCAATGGATTATTATTTTTTGTTATTAAAAAAAACAATACAATATTATCAATTTATTAAGTTTTAATAATTTAAAAATTATAAATACACTTGAATTGTATAACTTAAAGTTTTAGTTTATTTCTATTTAATATTACAAAGTTATTAATTATGAAGCTTTGTATAACTATAACGTATAAACTCAGTTTAATTCAAAAACGTATTTTATTAGTCATGTATCATAAAATGTATCAATGTAAAATTTTGTTCAAAATGTATAATTATAATATAAGGTCTACTACTATTTATAATATAGTTCAAAACACCTGTAGAACTATATTGTAATTTAATTCTGTCTTGTTTATTTGTTTATTTATTATATTAATAGTATTATCTGCCATTTGTCTTATAAAAATCGTCCACAGCTCATAACCAAATAAAGTGTGAGTTTTAGAAATAAAAAACATATTAATAATCTAGTTAAAAATAATAATAATAAAACTAATTTTTACATTTAACTTTTCTACTACATAGTTCTATTTGATATTTATTATTACCTTGATTCACAAATATCGATGACTTTGTAGTAGACACGTCGAAATTGTTGAAAAATGTATAACACAAAAAAAATAAAAATATTTTTGGTGTATTTACGACTGAATTTTGTGGGAAATTCGTGGCGCGAGTGTCGCGGTAGACAGTCGATGGTGAACTGAATGTCCCGAACTCCGAACATTACCTACTTGAACGACGACGTCACCGCACGCGAATAAAGTTGGTTGCAGGGAGGCACAGGGGGATTGGCAATAGTGTGCGTCCCCGCCCCTTCCTTTCCTGACAAAAACCACACGAAAATTAGCCTTTCCGAAAGAAAAAAAAACAAAAACAAAAAAAATATTACACCTTACGTACAGTACTTGTTATAAATAAGCTCTCGCCTAACTTCATTTAACACTTTATGTATTAAATTATAATGCATTGTACCTATGTGCATGCTACCCCGTCGAATCGATATTCGTATATATAAAAGTATAAAAAAAAAAAACCGAGGTCTAAGTAAGCTGAAGAATACCTTGTACTTAATGCCAAACCTAGGGAGAGAAGGCAATAATCTAATGCAGGGATCATCAAATAGTGGCTCGAGCACGAATTGTGTCCAGCCCGTGGACAAGAAATTAATTTTTTTTTATCGTGCATAAAACGAGTTTTTTATTTGATTTTTTTGATTTTGTTTTTACTTTCTTTAAATAAACATGTACATTAAATTATATATCTGAATTTTAAATAAATAACAAATATTAATTAACTCAGAAAATTTAATATTTTTACCTTAAATAAAAAAAAAATAAGATAAAACAAGCTATATTTATTTTTTTGAGAAGTTAATAGGTATATATTTGAATAAACATCAATAGTTTTTTAAATATATATTTATTTTTATAAAAAATAAGTGAATGACAAAGTCTAAACACAGGCCTGTTTATAATGATCGAATACGAGTGGAAACAAAATAAATAATATAAATTGAATATAAATATACAATTCAGGGAGGAGAAAGTATTTATTGTGTCGAAAGCAACTCGTGATATTTTTAAAAGTTCACTAGAACGCCGACCTCTCGTAATATATATAAAGTAGATATACATATGAATATAGGACAATAAATATAATTTAATATGACCAGTTGTTATATTATATTTGGTTTTCATTATTAGTTTTAGAGGTAAAATTAAAACTCAACAAATCCACAGCGTTTTCTTCAAAATTAATAATATACAGTATTACACGGATTTAAATGTTATTCACATATGTATAATATTAGGATATAATGCGTATTATTTTTTTTTTTTTTTTAATCCGATTTAGTCACAAACCACAGAACATTAGGTTTGTCTACATTTCGACCAATAAATATTCAAACTTTATGCGTTCGCGTTTGTTAAATTAATTTGAACTTAATATGGTAAATGATTTATATTGCATAAATTAAAATATATTATATTTTTGAATAATAATCGTAAGTTTAAAAAAAAAATACCTTTTAATAGTTAATTTATTTTCAAAAGAAATGTATATGTATACACGATACATTTTATATTTTTCACTCATAGATATTCATCTGAATATTAACATTCTCAGTCCAGAACTAGTAATACCAAATTTCATTACACATTTTGTTTAGTCACAAATAGTTTAAGCTTTTAAGTACTCGTAATACCTATACTTAAATATGTATTACAAAAACCAATGTAATACGTATACCCAGTGGCAAATTAAAGGAGACAAAAAAGCTCACCCCCTTTTTGACAGTTATATTATATTATCGTAGTTGTAATAATATGAGTTAAAAATGATTAAAAATACTCATACGAATCGCATTTAGACCAATTAATACGAAAATGCTGATACTTGATTATAATCTTATCCTAGTTTATTTTTCAATAACTTTTACTATTTAATGAAATATTTTAAAATATAAATGCATTTATTACACTGAGTATAACTTAGTCATGTGAGTTATGTATTGTGCATCGTGGTATCGTTAAACATCATTATTTAATAACAATTTAACCATAATGTCACAAAGACGCCAAACTGATTATTTAACATCTTTTTTTTAAAAAAAAACTAAAGTTAATAATAATATTAATACTCCTTCTACTAGTACTAATAATATTGATGTTTCTATTAATATTAATTTAGAAAACAAAAATATATCGTTATATATGCTATTATTATTTCAAATTCATTCGAAGTAATTTATAATTTACATTAATGATTTTGATATTGATTTGGCAGTTGAAGAAAAATCAAATTTGTTAATTCGTAAATATCAAAAAATGCTATATAAATATAATATGGTGTTTACAAAATTAATATAAAAAATTTTGCCCCACCTCAAAAAAAAAATCCTAAATCCACCACTGCGTATACGATTACAATCAATTTGACGTTTTGTAAAACGATATAATTCTTGAAACGTTATAGAATTTTTGTTCTAAACTTAAAATTTATAGATATTTATTTAGATATAGAAATAAGAAATGAGAATGAGCATACTTTTACAACGACTTACCTATTTATTTATTTATAATTTTGATTAATATTTAATATTTGATCTTGAGTGGACCAAGAAATGTATCGGTTTTTAAAATTCTGTTTTTTTTTTTTTTGTATGCGTATATGCATTTTTTCTTCCCCCCCCCCCCCTATCTAGCAGTAAAATTGCTTCAATATTCAACTCAAAATAATTCCTTATATCAAAATATATTGCTAAGGTCAAAAGTATAAAATTCTCTTCAAAATATTAACTATCAATTTATTAATTTTGCTTAAATTCAAAAATAAATAATTTTCAAACTGCTCAAAAACTAAATGTATCTAACAATAAAGCTGAATAAAAATAATTCACAATTAATAGATTTAAACAATAGAGCACGGTATATATCGACCACAAATAATGGAATGTAAGCTTTTGAATGGACATTAGACATATTATGATTAGTGTAAATGTTCAATAGTATGAGAGAAAGACACGAGCTTTTGGAGTGTGCACAACTCGTGAGCTACTGTAAACCTTAACTAATGAACTTTTGTTACCTTTTTTTTACACAAAATGTTCGCTTAAGGAAGAAGGGACTTTGTTATTTATATGATTTCTATAGGGATGTCCATACAACCATAATTTATTTTTCGAAGTAAAGCCATCATACCACACACAATCATAATACGTACACACCTGCAAAAGCCTTCTCACAATTAAAGAATACAACTGCTGTTTGTATGCACTGGCTGAGATTGACGCAAATTTTTTCAATGAGTTTATTTAGTTAGAGTAGTTAGAGTAGTTATAGTGGTCTGCTTGTAGAATTTTAATAGAGACAAAAGAAATGATATCAGTCTATAGTATTTTGGAAGTTAATAAATTTTGTTGGTTTTTATAATAAAGGTTATAAACAATAGTTTCCTAGTATTTAGTAAATAAGAAAGTTTTAAAATTTATCTTTATTATTTTATTTAAAATAATTATTTTGTATTTTAGAAGAATAACTTGGAACTTGAAAGGTAGGTTAGTGATTTAATATAGTCCTTACCGGAATATTAGCACCAAACAGTAATTAATAACCAACAGTTGGCCATACTGAGTTGATGCTCGACCCTCTTTTCCAACTCTTCCACAGAAAATTCTAAGGACCGTTGGCTTTTTGTTGACTTTGTTTACATTCACCATGTGTCAATGTTTAGTCGACAAGTTTTGTTTGCTAGTACTAGTATTTACAATTTAGTACGTACAACTTTCAACGTTCGTAAATCGTCATATTCCTACCTTTGGTCACTTATGGAATCCAATTTTGGGAAGCATCTGAAAACTCAAATATGAAAATCTTATAATCCTTTCAATTAATATCCCTCAAAACAATAACCAATACTCCATGGTATGTTAATAATCAAATCTTCCATAATCAACCATCTAAATTCTACAAAGTGATTCCATAATAAACTACGTAATCATTCAAATCCTCTCATATTAAATTTATCATCTCTAAACCTACTCGATACAACTCGTCGACTGAAAAGAAAATGGTCTAGAAATCTTTTAACTTAATTATTACATATACTCAATTAAAAAAAAAAAACAATTTCGAACTTAAATTTTAGATAATTTATTGTAATGATATAATTACTTTTGTTTAATATATTTTTATATAGTAATATAAATAGATATTTTCTCTATAATCTCGTATCATTTTTTTCTCTTTTGATCAAATTTACTAATTTTATTACTTAATATAGATTGTTAATAAAAAAAACTATTTTAATAGGAAATTAGTATGCTATTTTTTATAATTTATTCACGTACTTATTGTTTTATTTTACTAACATAACTGTAAATTGTTTAAATGAGCATTTTTTTGTAATTGCTTTGTTTTTTATTATATAGTATATAAACCTTCCGGGATTATTGTTGCGATTGGTTGAGTCGTCGGAACTAACGTCCATCTGATGAACAGTATTTCAATTGAAAATTAAAAAGAATTTTTCTAAATTATTATAATTGGTGTACCAAAAATAGTAATAAAGAAATAATAAGTATTGAAATACTAAATAATATAGAATGATTTTATATATAATAGAATATATAAGGTTTATATTTTAATATTTTACTTAAACTTAATATGGTCATGTGGCCAGGTATTTTTTCAAAATTATGAAATGCTAGTAAGTAATTATTAGATATTAATATAGTATCTTTAAAAATAGAATCTAACATACCGTCTCACTGAAAAATTTTTCGTATTCAATGATTTAATATCATTTCAGTGAACTTAGTGATAAACTATACTTAAAGGCCACTACAGCGAGATGACTTCACTTAAATTAAAATATATGTACTATAAGAATCAATTTACATTTTCTACTTATTTGGATAACAAAATACCAAAAGCTCCTATTGAATAATATTATACTTAAACCAGATTAAAATATATTTTTATCATTATAAAGGTTTAGAATAACATTACATACTGTTAAACATTGTCTATCCATTATTTGTTCAAATAACCTTTTATGATTACAAAATTATTATTAATCTCTTTTTTTATATACGTCAAACAATTATTTTAATATTAGAAAATATTGAATTTTTTTCTATATTGTGATTCGCACTAATTAATAATAATGAATATTTCATTAAACA